CACAATGACAGTGGGCCCTCAGGCAGCAGCAGGCCCAGCTCACCAACTGCCCCCACCATCACTTCATCAGACCCTGCCACCAGCTTCCTGAAAGGAGGGCCTCAAGGCCTAGCGTGAAGCCTGGGGGCCATACCTGGCCATGCCTGGCCGTCGCCTGTCTGCTGAGAGGAGAGGCCCAGGAATGGGTTTCTCTGCTGGCTAGGAGTTCCCTGGCTCTTTGTCAGGAACCCAGGTTTGGGGTGGGCTGGCTACTGGAAGCACATCTGCTCCCAGCACCTTCAAAATGTGCTGTCCTATCCCTCAAGTTTATAAACGTATGGGAGTGATGATCATAGTGACTAGATCCACCCCAAAATGTGATCCTCTTGAACGGATCAGAGACAGAAGTTCGATGAGATGCTGAAGCTTAAAATCTAGAAAATAAGAAGTTGGCCATTAAATTTTTTTTAAAGATTCTTGTCACTGGTATCCAGAATGAATCTGAAGAAGCTTTACAGAAAAGTGATTAATTTCGACCCTCCCCAGTGATTAACAATATTCGATTTGGCCTGAGTTAAAATTAACCTTAGTATCTCTCGGAAGGGGAGGGTATGGCTAGTTAGACCAGCAGCTTCAGAGTGCCCAGCCAGGCGTGGACCATGAGCAGGCCGGGATGTTGGTGCATACTCGACGTTAGAAATGGCATCAGCGATGGCCCGGTTTCTAGTCTGGCTCACAAACATTGGTGTTGCTGAATTAGCAAATGTGACAGCATGTACTGTTTAAAATCCATTGTGAGTTAAACTGTGGACAGTTTAAGCATGGGGTTAAGTGGGATGTGGGGCACATATGAGGAAAATGTTATTACTTAGGATGAACTACGTGCTGCTTCTCTGCTAGGCGTCGGTGGTAACTGGCACATTGCAAGCCTTTGTGGCCCAGAGGAGGCTGGCCTGCCAATCAGGGAACACTCCTGCTGAAGCTGGCAGCACCATCCACACAGCCTGCAGTTCCGTGGTTATTGATTCTAGTGATGGGGTTAGTTTTCTACCACCCACCCCCATCTGTTCCCCTGTAGTTAGATGGGGTCTGCAGCTCCCTACTGTCTGGACTTGAGCTGATTAAGTAATACCACATGCAGTCGCCTGGATGAGGATGGAAGGAGCATCTGATCCTGCGCTCCCCTCTGCTTCTGTCTCCAGGCATACCGTCCCCGCAGTCTGGTGGAAGAACGCCCAAGGCAAAGACCAGATGTGGTATGAGGATGCCTTGGCTTCCAGCCACGCTATCATTCTGTACCTGCATGGGAACGCAGGTACCAGGTGAGGGAGGGGAGCCCATCTTCGCTGTGGAGCACGGTTCCTTTTTGGGGTGGGAATGTCCTGGCCCAGTCTGCTGGAAACCAGCAGGAGCTAACCTGTGGCCCCACAAAATCAGGAGTACTGATCTACTGCAATGAGGGAGAACCTCCCAAGAGCAAAGGGAAAGGCAGAGTTCTTAAGGGGTTCAGGGAAGGCCGAGTTTAGGTGAACGTTACATGAAGCAGGGTTCCCACAGGCTGAGGCCAGCAGGGCTGTGTTCTGCAGGGACCAAGTGTGGGAAGCTGTGTGCAGACCATCCCCTATCTGGAACTCCAGCCTGGGTTGGGATGGAGGAGGCTGAGTCTCGGTCAGGGGCTGAGCTCCCCGGCCAGAGGGGCATGTTTTTTTCTCGCTGTTGTAGTCTCAAAGGGCACAGCATCTGCTGTTATGTGATTTGGGGAGCAGGGTTCTTGGAGAGTGAGGGCTTTGGGGTCCCTCTGAGGAGGGGTCATGGTGGCACTTGAATGTGGCAGCCCTGTACCCTTGGGAATGGGTGGCTCCAGCTCACTGGCAGCTGGTTTTCCCCATATCTGTCATGCAGCCTGAAGTGGCAGGCAGATCTTTGTTACCTGTAAGATAGCTCCAGGTGGCAGACAGGTGAAGCCAGAGCCAGGGCAGCCCTGGAGGAGGAGGCATACTTCCTGGAAAAAAGTGGCGGGTGCTGAGAAGGGGCAGGAGGGAGAGGCTGAATGTACCAGGTGCTGGGGTCCTTGCAGGCCGCCCTACAGTGTGGGCTGTCCGCTCACTAACGGGCTGTTGGTGAAGTACATGTGCTTTGTTTGATCAGCCCTGCCCAGTGCTATCTCAGATGCTTTTCCTGAGTGGGCCTAATGGCTTGTCCTTTCCACTGGCTGCCCTGGAGTTGGCCTCCCTGCCTTAAAGGGTGCTCCTTCCACACCATGTGACTGCTGTTCAGAAGAGCCTCTGTGGGAGAGCCCAGGGTGGGTGTGGGGGGGATACATTTTCTGAACAAAACATTGTTTGAAAACCACCAAGCTCTTCGTGTGTGAGAGAGGCAGCCAGGAGCCAGCGCAGAGGCAGACCCAGCACGGAGACAGGGCTGCTGCAGGGCCAGGGCCGAGGTCCACTGTGGCACCAGGGTGTGTCAGGGCTAGGGGCAAACATTTTATAGGCAGAGCCAGCAAGGAGAGCCGTGCTGGGCCCTTCTGGAGGCGAAAGCAGGCCTAGGTGGGTGTCTGCATGGTGGAGCCCTGCAGAGGGCATTGCTGAAAGAGCCCAGCAGCATCGTCCATAAGGTGGTTTCTGTGCCAGGGATGGTGTGTCTAGCTACTGAATCATGCATGTGCTGCACAGTTTCCTTTCTTCTTTGTCTGGGACAAGCTGCAGCGGGTTTCTCTTCTGCTTTTCAAAGAGCAAGCGGCTACAAACAGCTCCTGCAGCATCTTTTTATAAATGAGAGAACTGTGGTTGCCTGTGAATAAGGTTCAGTTCTGCAGTGCCCATCACATGGTTTAAAAAAAAAAGAACCTGCCTGTAACTTTAGATTAGAAAGTGATGCTGTGACTTTCAAGGTTTGCTGCCCCCTCCCACTCCTGCAGAGAGTGCCTGGCTGCGGGCCTCGCCACCCCCGTGTTGCCTGCTTTTTGTCCTGTGCATCCCAGTGGGGTTTCGCTGGTCTGCGGGACCCACCACGCCGGTCTCCCTGAGGTCCAGACCCCCTGGATTCCCAGCAACCGTTACTTTTTTGCTTAATGTAGGAAATTTTAGAAACTTAGAAAAGAGCCACTATGAACTCTTACAGTGATCACTGAAAATACTTTGCAGTGTTTCCTCCTTGTCTTGAAACTCCTTCCTTTATTTTTTATTTTAATTTTTGAGACAGAGTCTCACTCTCTCGCCCAGGCTGGAGTGCAGTGGCGCAATCCTGGCTCACTGCAACCTCAGCCTCCCGGGTTCAAGTGACTCTTCTGCCTCAGCCTCCCGAGTAGCTGGGATTACAGGCACCCACCACCATGCCCAGCTAATTTTTGTATTTTTAGTAGAGACGGGTTTTACCGTTTGACCCGGCTGGTCTCAAACTCCTGAGCTTAAGTGATCCACCCACCTCGGCCTCCCAAAGTGCTGGGATTCCAGGCATGAGCCACCGGCCTGACCCTTTACATTTTTGTTTCTGCACGTTATTGGCTTCCTCCTTCATCTCATCCTGGTCTCCCACCAGCAACACTCCTGCCCCCATACCTGAAATGGTGAAACCGCTCCTGAGGAAGGAGGAGCACAGCTAGGGAGTGTGGAGAGTGTGGACCCGCCCTCCTCCCAGGTGGCCCATGTCCCTGCTGTGGGGTTGGTCCAGGTTAACAGCTGGCCAACAACTGGAAAGAAAGCGGGAAGGGAGCCTAGACAGGCCTCAGACAAGGAAGTACAAATTGGGGTGTGTATGCCGAGCCCACTTAGTCTCCGTAGTGGCATGCACGGTGAAGCTGTAGTTGACTGTGAGGGCCAGGAGGCAGCCGTTCCTGCACTTCAGGGTCTCCCTGAGGAGATTCTTGGAGCATATCCCATGCATGGAGCACACACATGTGAAGGGCTGTAAGGCAGGGTGGCCGCGGCAGAAATAGAAGTTAGTGCCAGGTGGGAAACAGCCGAGATGACCACGAGAGGCCAGGGCAGCGCAGCTAAGCAGAGTTCTGAAGGTCGGCTGAGATGTGTGGAGCAAGAAGTGAGGGCAGAAGGTGTCCATACAGGCCCTGTTGGAGCACAGCCTCTGTCCACACAGGGTGTCCCTGGCACGGGGAAGCTGCGAGGGGCTGGGGTGTGGTGGATGAGGGCTTGCTGTGTTTCCTTTAGTGTCTTTCTAGTTTGGGACTATAGGTGTGCATTACCTACTGAAAAATAGAAGCAGTCATTAAGAAATCTCCCCAGAGTGCTGAGACTATCTCCCCCTTGGCACAGCAACGCCAGAGGCGAGTGTGGGGCCACTTAGGGGGACCCAAGGAGGAGGTTGCCCTCTTTCATTGGCCTCTCCCTGGTTTGGGGTATGGAGGACAAGTTGACCTGGGGCCCAACTCTGAGAAGATGTGCTCACACCATGTCCTGTTTCCTTCTCCAGAGGAGGTGACCACCGCGTGGAGCTTTACAAGGTGAGTGCAGGTGGCACCCACACCTGTTCCCTGGGCTGTTCTTTCCAGGGCAGGAAGTGAAGGGAGTCACCAGACTCACAGCTTGAGAGTTAACTATCGCTGGGCTGTTTCTGTGTGTGAGACAGGACTCCTCCTGCTCTGTTGCCCAGGCTGGAGTGCAGTGGATGCGGTCACAGCTCACTGTAGCCTCAACCTCCTGGGCTCAAACTATCCTCCCACTTCAGCCTTCTAAAAGTGCAGGTGCATGCCGCCACCACACCCAGCTAATTTTTGTTGTTTCTTTGCTTAGAAGTAGGTCTCCCCTATGTTGCCCAGGCTGGTCTCAAACTCCTGGGCCTCCTAACTCGGCCTCCCAAAGTATTGGGATGACAGAAGTGTGAGCCCATGTCCTGACCTTTTGGTGGCCTTTTCAACACTGCTGGTAGGTGTGCTGCGAAGGTAGGGCCTTGGCAGCTGCCTCTGCTGTGACTGCCCATCACACCTCTAGGCCTGGGCCCCAAAATCAGAATGTATGGGCTTGGTAGACCAAGTACAGATATTGGCACACTACATAAATGGCATTGGAAAGTGTTTTTCAATGTTACATTACTTAATGTAAAATGAAAAGAGGGCAGTGCAGTGAGAAACTCATGTCTGTAATCCCAGCACTTTGGGAGGCCAGGTAAGAGGATCACAAGGTCAGGAGTTCAAGACCAACCTGGCCAATATGGTGAAATCCCATCTCTACTAAAAATAAAAAAATTAGCCAGGTGTGGTGGCAGGCGCCATAATCCCAGTATTCAGGAGGTTGAGGCAGAGAATTGCTTAGGCCAGGGAGGCGGAGGTTGCAGTGAGCAGATGGTGCCACTGCACTCCAGCCTGGCTGACAGGTGAGACTCTGTCTCAAAAAATAAAGAAAAAGAAACCAGGTGCCCCAGGTGCTACACGGCTGCCGGAGATCGCAGGCTCACCCAGCGGGGGTGCAGGCAGGATGAATCAGCTTCCAGGCACACAATGGGAGCACCTGCAGATCTCCCCATGTCCAGGGGTGTCTAGGGCAGAGGCGTGCAGACCTTCACTTGTGCTTGGCTGCTTGATTTGCCATTGTACCATCTGGTTGTCTGGGTCTGTCCAGGGGGTGTCTAGGGCAGGGCGTGCAGACCTTCACTTGTGCTTGGCTGCTTAATTTTGTTCTTCATCTGGTTGTCTGGGTCTTGGAGCCGAAGAGCTACTGTTGGAACAGCCTCACTCTCCTCCCCTCAGAGGGCCATCTGCACTGGCCCACAGGACAGAAGGGGATACAGACAGAGGCAGGGGCACAGATAGAGGCGGGGCACACCCAGCTCTGAGCTATTGGAGGATTTTACCCCTGGAGTAAATTGCATTAAGTCAGGAAAAGTGGGGAGAGTTTGAGAAGTGATTGGTTCTTTCTTCAGGTTTCTGTTAAAAGAAATGATTCACCCTGCTGAGGTCAACAGGGCTGGAGCAGGTTGGCTCTGGGTATAGACTCTGCAGTGGCTAGGAGCTGGCAGGGAAGCGCAGGCTGCCCTGGGGAAGCACCCGACTCCCTCCCTAAAGTAGGGGAGCTGTGATTCTGGGTGATGTGATGGTGCGGCAGCCTCCCATGTTGCTCTGGGCACACCCCAGCCAGGGCACAGGAGCGTTGAGGAGTGATCTAAATGAGAGAGGTCAGCTAGTCTGTAGGGATTGAAAAAAAGATAACAGAAAAAAATGGACAAGAGCTTAAAATCCAAGAAATACTGGGTTGCAGCAAGAGTCCCCAGATGCGGTCTCTACACAGTATAGCCCTCCTCCTGGGGGTCTGCCATCACACTGCAGCACCGAGAGCTGTCTGTCCCCAGAGGAGGCTGCCCCAGAGGCTGCCCTGCAGCACGTGTGGAGCTGGGGCCTGGGACCTGGGACCTGCGGGAGTCTGTGCCTGGCCCTCTGATTCTAAGCAGGAGGAAGGGGGATGCTTCCCTAGTGTCTAAGCAGCAAGAAGGGATAGCCTTCCTGTGCTCCCAGGCAGGGATGTCAGCAGGTCCAGAAGCGGCAGTTGGCATCTGGGTTTCATAAAACCCAGCCGGGAGTCAGCAGCATGTCACAGTCTTTATGAAGCTGCCGCTACGCACAAGGCACGGGAGGGAAAGTCGGATGAGTTTAGTAAGCGGCAAGCTGCCCTCAACACAGACGCTTGGATTTGTTGCCAAAGATGTTTATTTTTCACTTTACAGGTGCTGAGTTCCCTTGGTTACCATGTGGTCACCTTTGACTACAGAGGTGAGATTTATTTTGCAAGAGCATCTGAGCACATTTCCACTGCTTGCTGGCAGTATCCCATGGGCAGGCCTCACTTGAAGAGGCTCGGAGCAAGGCCAGCGCCTGCTTTGACTGTGCTGTGATGGTGTCCTGGGTCCTGACAAAGCCCCTGATGGAGCTGCTGGGAGAGCCCCTTCTGGTAGGGAAGGCTCAGCACCTGGAGCCCCCAGCAGATGCCCTGTCAGCAACTTTTTTTTTTTTTTTTTTTTTTTGAGATAGGCTCTCACTTTGTCACCCAACCTGGAGTGCAGTAGCATGATCATAGCTCCCTGCAGCCTTGAACTCCTTTGCTCAAGGGATCCTTCTGCCTTAGCCTCTCAAGTAGCTGGGACTACGGGAATGCGACACCACACCCGCTACTTTTTTTGTTTGTTTTTAGTAGAAATGGGGTATTGCTATGTTGCCTAGGCTAGTCTCAGACTCCTGGCCTCAAGCGATCCTCCTGCCTCAGCCTTCCAGAGTGTTGGAATTACAGGCGTGAGTCACTGCACCCAACCTGCAACATTTTAAATTAGAAGATCCTGTCTTTTTTGGACTCAGACTGTCTCTGCAGCTGGACGTCAGACACGGTTTATGCTCATCAAAGCTTGTCTTGTTAAAGTTATGAAGACAGTAAGAACTGTTAAGAGAGGCTGAGCACGGCGGTTCACACCTGTAATCCCAGCACTTTGGGAGGCTGAGGCAGGAGGATCACTTGAGGTCAGGAGTTTTTGACCAGCCTGGCCAACATGAAACCCCATCTCTACTGAAAATACAAAAATTAACTGGCCATGGTGGCTCGCACCTGTAGTCCCAGCTATTGGGGAGGCTGAGGCAGGAGAAGCGCTTGAACCTGGGAGGCGGAGCTTGCAGTGAGCCAAGATTGCAACACTGTAGTCCAGTCTTGGCGACAGAGCAAGAGTCCATGTCAAAAACAAACAAACAAACAAAAAAAAAGAACTGTTAGAAGATAGATTCTTCTGCACCTCAGCATTGCTACTTTTTTGAATGAACCAGGGCTCGCCACTGAACATATCAGGAATCCACAGTTTGATATATACCAAGGACACTATGGCTTAATGGGCAACAGAAATAACTTGGTGTTAACAGTGAACGACTGGTTTGTTTTGGTTTTGGTTTTGGTTTTGCTTCACTCTGTCACCCAGCTGGAGTGCAGTGGTGTGATCTCCGCTTACTGCAACCTCTGCTTCCCGGGTTCAAGTGATCTTCCCAACTCAGCCTCCCTAGTAGCTGGGACCACAGGCACTCACCACTACACCTGGCTACTGTTGTTTTATTTTTTTTAAGAGAGGGTTTCGCCATGTTGCCCAGTCTGGTCTCGAACTACTGGGTTCAGTCAGTCTGCCCACCTTGGCCTCCCAAAGTGTTGGGATTACAGGTGTGAGTGAGCCACTGCACCTGGCTGAGAGACTGTTTTAAAGTGTATTCTGGCTGGGCTTGGTGGCTCACGCCTGTAATCCCAGCACTTTGGGAGGCTGAGGCGGGCAGATTACTTGAAATCAGGAGCTCGAGATCAGCCTGGGCAACATGGCAAAACTCTACCTCTACTAAAAATGCAAAAAAAGTAGCTGAGTGTGGTGGCAGGCGCCTGTAATCCCAGCTACTCGGGAGGCTGAGGTGGGAGGAAGACTTGAGCCCAGGAGGCGGAGGTTGCAGTGAGCCAAGATCATGCCACTGCGCTCCAGCCTGGGTGACAGAGGGAGAGCCTGTCTCAAAAATTTCAAAAAGTGTATTCCACCATGTAGTCCTCAGCTGGAGAGATCAAAGAGTTGATGGCAGCATGGCTGGCTGCCTTCACCTTCCAGGGGGACAGGCGGCATGTCTATCCTCAGACCAAGAGGAGATATGAGGGGGACCAAGGAGAGAGGCTGTCACCCGGATGTGGGGGTTGTGTTAATTCTCTCTTGCTGCTGTAACATGTTAGCACAAACAGTGCTTTAAACCAGCACACATGTAGCGTCTTGCAGTTCTGGAGGTCAGAAATTCAGAATCTGCAGCCCCCAGGCTGGAATCAGGGCGGGAGCAAGGCTCTCAGGGAGAATGCCTGGCTGCCCTTTCCAGCCGCCTGTGTTCCTTGGCTCACACCTCTTCCGTGATTGAGTCCCAGGTCTTCTGGCTCTGACCCTGACTCCTCCCTTTTTGTCTGATGAGGACCCTTGTGGTTATTTTGGGCCCACCCAGCTTGTCCAGGATCACCCCCTTCTCAAGGCCAGCAGTTAAAATCTTTCATTCCTTCCATACCCTTCATTCCCCAGCCATGTGACCCAACATGTTCATAAGTGCCAGGGTCGTGGACACTTGTGGGGGCCGCCATGCTGCCACCCACAGGGAAGAAAGTTCCATCAGGATGACAGTTGTGGGCTGGGAGAAACTCCAGAATGAGGAGTGGGAAGTGGTGTGCCCTCTCCTTCTCTCCGTGCTGACACGGGTTCTCTTCTGCTGCATGCTAGAGACCTTAGGAGAGGGAGAAGGGGTGACTTCTTCACATTCATCTCCCCACACTTCTGTCAGGAAATGAAATCCCACGCAGCACTTTCTGTTTCAGTTCTCGTGGAATCTCCACGTTTCTAACTGGCACCAAGACTGCCAGCTCCGTCTCCGACTGTCCCTCTGTCTCTCTCACCGCATCTGCCTCTTTGTCTACATCCCTCTGCCTCCTGTCCCTGTCTCTGTGCCTGTCTCTCTATCCCTGTTAGTCTTCTGCTTGTCTCTGTGCCTCTCTGTCCCTGTCTCTCAGTCTTGCTTGTCTCTGTGCCTCTCTGTCCCTGTCTCTCAGTCTTCCTGTCTGTCTCTGTCTCCTGTCCCTATCTCTGTTCTTTTCTTTCTGTCTCATATTCCCATACCCCTGCCTCCCAGCCTAGCCCTGGCCCTCTGCATGGCCTCCTCCCTCCTCTAGTGTCTGAGTTGGGAAACAGCAAGTCCTGCACTAACTGTGGGGTTTGCTTACACTGCACAACCTGCTCTTTCTGACCTTTGTGGTGCTTTCAGATCATCTGATGATGACTCACTGCTGGACTGCTGGAAAGATAATTGCACTCCATCTTTGCTGGAGACTGGGGGGGAGATTGTAATTTTGGGGGCAGAGATGGTAGTGTTTTCCGTTATGCAAGCAAGATGCTAATTAGACCCTAAGGGAAAACAGCCCCTTTCCCCTTCCTGGGTCAGAGTTGCCTTGCACCCAGAAATGCCCTCCCTGTTCTGGGAGCCTCCGGACTCCACTCCCTATCCTGCCCCTGACCAAGCCTTCGGCGTTGAGGAGGTTGGTGTCCAGCCAGCGGCCTGGGGGCTGCTCATCTGACCACACCAGCTGCACTGATGCTCGTCGGGGCCAGAGCGGGACACGTGGATGCTGCTGGGGGAGTAGGGAGAAGTGTAGAGCTGAGGATGGTGGTGGCAAAGGCTTCCACTACCTCACTAACCTGTCTGTTAAGAGAGGGAGGTGAGCTCATCCCCCCACGCAAGAGGGTGAGGCAAGCCGCAGCCCTGGCCTGAGGATGCCGGTGCCAGCTCTGAGGCTCTGATCTGTTGACTCAGCTTGCTGTTAGTTGCCATTCAAATTTGCAGCTCACCAACTTAGTGACCCTGTGAGGGGACATCTGGTTTGTGCAGTCAGCAGGGGCAGGGCAGGGTTGCTGCTGGGCTGCCTTCCCCAGGGGTGGTGGGGATGTGGGGCTGTGCCCATTCTCTCCACTGCTTGCTCTGCCCAGTGGCCTGGATGGGTCTGTGGACTCTGGAAGGGTGGGCTGAGCTGGCCCCTCCCTGTCCCCTCCTGAACCTGGGGAAGTATGTTTGTCCAGGTTTTGTGAACTGCCTTTGACCTCCCCGTGCTGCCGTTTCTCCCTCCCAGGTTGGGGTGACTCTGTGGGAACGCCATCTGAGCGGGGCATGACCTATGATGCACTCCACGTTTTTGACTGGATCAAAGCAAGAAGTGGTGACAACCCTGTGTACATCTGGGGCCACTCTCTGGGCACTGGGTAAGGGACCCCAGCAGGAGGCAGCCTTTAGTGGGAGCCAGTATTCCTGGTGACTCTCATGCCTGGATCTAGAAAGCCCACCATCCCTGAAAACCCTGTGGCACCATTAGTCCCAACCAGCCTCGCTCCCGTCCCCATGGCAGAGGCAGGAGGGGAAGTTCCAAAGATACTCCAAAGGATTTGAGCTCCTCGTCCAGAAAGTGGTTCAGGACAGAAATAGGCCGTGGAGGTCGAGGCGTCTCCGCAGGGAGACTTGGCCCTGAGGAAGAAGCGTCTTCAGAGCTGGGGGAGGGCACAGTGGGTGGTTTGCTTCTCACATAGGCCAGGACAGGAGGTACTTCCACACGCCCTTTGTGGGCAGCCTGAGTCATCTCTGCTGATGCAAGGTCCACAGTCTCTGCGGGAACCGTTGCTCTCGGCCCCAATCCCCAGACCTTCACTGCCATTCCCTTTCTGCTGCCTTTCCTTTCGGGGCAGCCCTTTCTCCCAGCGCCTGAATGGCCTCTTGCAGGCTGGGAAGCGTCCAGGAGAGGAGTGGGTGGGGGGCACTGGCCATCCTTTTGGCCGTCTGCATGGTTCGCCAGGTGTGGTCCTGGGATGGCGAGAGGCCCTGGGTGTGGTGGGCTCCAGGAGAGGTGCAGGCAGATGCTGGCCACCCCCAGCCGACGGGCGGCCCTGCCAATGGGAGGGTATGGGCAGTGAGAGGCAGCAGGACACACCTTGGGGACAAGGAGACTGGCTGTGGATACAACCCTCATTGCAGGGGTCAGCTGTGGTAGGGCAGTCAGGTCACCCCCAGTGCTAGAGGGATCTCCATTTCCCCCACTCTGTCCTCTAACTCCAGTAGCTTCACAGACCCCGTGGATCCTCTGAGCACTTTCCAACATAAGGCCCATATCATGTCAGACAATTTTATCATAACTACACTGTTTTTCTTTTTTCCTAGTGTGGCGACAAATCTGGTGTGGCGTCTCTGTGAGCGAGGTGAGTGCCTTGTTGGGCCCCATCCGTGGCCGTGAGCATTCAGGGTGCTCCCCAGTCCCGGCCCTGCTGCAAGTGCTCAGCATCCTCATGGAGCAGCATGAGCTGGGCATTCTGGGGGGCCTGGGGCTGATCAGGCTGCCCTTCCCATGATACACCTGAGGAGCTGGGGAGCCTCACACAGGCCTGGCCCCAGAGAGGCCGCATCAGCAAGTCTGCTTGTTAGGAGTGACCAGAGCCATCTCCGGCCCGCCGCGGGCGCCCCTGGAGCCATCTGACGCCTGCCAAGGTGGATGCCTAGGGGGAGGCACTGTGGTCTCCCTGTGCTTTCTGGGGGCCCCTCAGAGCCCCACAGGCCACGTGTATGTCGCTGGCTTCCTGCCCACCTCTCAGTTTCATTTGTTTATCTAGAGACGCCTCCAGATGCCCTTATATTGGAATCTCCATTCACTAATATCCGCGAAGAAGCTAAGAGCCATCCATTTTCAGTGGCAAGTACATATTTTATTAAAAATTGACTTCTCATTATTAAGATAATTATAGAAATAACTCATTATTAAGATAATTATAGAAATAACTAATAGGATAGGTTATATGCTAATGAATACAGATTTCGTTAAAAATTAATACTAGTTTTGGCCACAGAACTGCCTGAGAAGTTTATAACCTGCAGCCAGGTGAAATGACAGGCCATAGTTGTGTCATGTGAGGGCAGCGAGACCCAGTGGAGGCCGGGTCCACATGGTATCATTGACTGCGTTGTATTGACAGCCCTGCCTTCCCGCTCAGGAGTGGAACTGGGGGTGCCCCCCTCTCTATGTATGAGGACAGTGCTTGGGGGGCTGAACTCTGTGAACCAGGGAGTCTGGCCTCCCAGTTGTATCTTGGGGAAATGCCTGGGTGAACCCCAGTGGGAATTCTGGGTAAGCCAGACCCCACCCAACCTGTGCCCTCCCCAGCTGGGAATGGAACCTTGGACCTTTTCTTAAAACCTAGCCAGTTATTTTCCCCTCCTCCTCACTGGTTTGTGATCCCCGTGCTCCCCACTGGCCATGGATTCTTGGGCCTGTGTTAGCCCATCCTGGCCTCATGCTGTTCTGTTACCGACCAGAAGAGCTTTTTATCTTATCTTACTTTTTGGTGCTGCTTTTCTTAAATTGTGTGAGGAAACTGTCCATAGACCCCATTTTCTCAGGGGCGGCGGCCCTGGTATCTGCGGGAAGACTGGTTTCTGGGCTGGATTCCGGCCTGGCTGGGAGGTGCGGGAACACCATTTGCAGGGCAGCCCCTGCCATGCCAGTCTGTGGGGCCTGGCAGGTGATTCTTCTGTCCCTAGCAGCAAAGCCAGGACACAGCCAGGGCAGAAGGTGCCAGGACACAGCTCTGGTGGCCCCTTGGCAATGTCACCCCTGCTCCCTTAGGTAGGGTAGTTATGGATTACTACCTTGTAGTAATTCCTGAACTTTAAACTGTCTGCACCCTTGACCTTTGCCTGGATATCTTAACCAACGCTTCTGAAAATGGTTTCCATCTTGTCTCCAGATACATCGATACTTCCCTGGGTTTGACTGGTTCTTCCTTGATCCTATTACAAGCAGTGGAATTAAATTTGCAAATGATGAAAAGTGAGTACTATGGGATAGGAACTAATTTTCCTATTTAGTAAAACTCTGAGAACCCCTAGATGAGCCTCTTTAGTCACAGTAATCAAATAGGATGGAATTCAGAGTATTTAGGGTCGTTCTCTAGCAAACAGGTTTAAAAAGGGAAAGCCTGCCAGGGACCGTGGTTCACACCTGTAATCCCAGCACTTTGGGAAGCTGAGGAAGGCAGATTGCTTGAGCCTAGGAGTTTGAGACCAGCCTGGGCAAAAGAGTAGGACCCTGTCTCTACAAAAAATCCAAAAATTGGCCAGGTATGGTGGCGTCGTGTACCTGTGGTTCCAGCTACATGGGAGGCTGAGTTAGGAGGATCACCTGAGCCTGGGGAGGTCAAGGCTGCAGAGAACCGTGATTGCACCACTGTACTCCAGCCTGGCTGACAGAGAAAGAAATAAGAAATCTGAAAAGATCATAGAAGTAAAGCAATATTAAAATAATATATAGTTTTTGTCCATATGGTTTTTTCTGTTTTTTTTGTTTGTTTGTTTGAGACAGAGTCTCGCTCTGTTGCCCAGGCTGGAGTGCAGTGGCGCAATCCACTCACTGCAAGCTCCACTGCCTCCCAGGTTCACGCCATTCTCCTGCCTCAGCCTCCCGAGAAACTGGGACTACAGGCGCCCACCACCACGCCTGGCTAATTTTTTTTTGTATTTTTAGTAGAGACAGGGTTTCACGGTGTTTGCCAGGACGGTCTCGATCTCCTGACCTGGTGATCCGCCCATCTCGGCCTCCCAAAGTGCTGGGATTACAGGTGTGAGCCACCGCGCCCAGCCCCATATAGTTGTTTTATTTCAAAATGGTTTGTGACAGCCAAAACACGTATTAAAACAGTAATATTAACTGGTTTATCTTTCTTTCTTTTCTTTCTTTTCTTTCCCTCTTTCTCTCCCTCTCCCTCTCCCTCTTTCCTTCCCTCCCTCCCTCCCTCCCTTCCTTCCCTTCCTTTCCTTCCTTCCTTCTTCCTTTTCTTTCTTTTCTTTCTTGACAGAGTCTTGCTGTGTCACCCAGACTGTAGTGCAATGGCGTGATCTCGGCTCACTGCAAGCTCTGCCTCCCAGATTCAAGTGATTCTCCCTCCCAAGTAGCTGGGATTACAGGCACCCACCATCGTGCCCCACTAATTTTTTGTATTTTTGTAGAGACAGGGTTTCACCATGTTGGCCAGGCTGATCTCGAACTCCTGATCTCAGGTGATCTCCCCACCTTGGCCTCCCAAAGTGCTGGGATTACAGGCGTGAGCCACTGTGCCCGGCTGATACTAACTTATTCAGAAAATGACTTTGCCTCAGCCATTTGATTTGTGTTTGGTTATAGAAAAATATTACAAAGTTTATTGTTAAAAATCTATTAGGTAAACCAAAAGTTAACTATTCTAATTAAGGGTTCTTTTTTTAAACCTTTTTCAGATTGTATTGACATTGTCTTTGTGACATTTTTATATCATGGATTTTGATTTCTTTAAAAAAGAGGGAAAGTAGGCTGGGCGCGGTGGCTCACGCCTGTAATCCCAGCACTTTGGGAGGCTGAGGTGGGTGGATCACCAGGTCAGGAGATCGAGACCATCCTGGCTAACACAGTGAAACCCTGTCTCTACTAAAAATACAAAAATTAGCCGGGTGTGGTGTCTTGCGCCTGTAGTCCCAGCTAATCAGGAGGCTGAGGCAGGAGAATCACTTGAACCCGGGAGGCAGAGGTTGCAGTAAGCCGAGATGGCGCCACTGCACTTCAGCCTGAGCCACAGAGCGAGACTCTGTCTCAAAAAAAAAAAAGAGGGAAAGTAAAACACCCTATAAATATTTAATTTAATTTGAAACAGAATATTAAAAAAAAAAAATGGAGTATTTTTTTCCCCTCAAGTATGTTTTGGTTCTAAAAATAAAAATAGAACAAATTAAAAGTTGAGCAAATATTTTAAGCAACAAACCATGCTTGTTTGTAAATATTACTGTTTTGGAACTTGAAAAAGAATTATCCGGGCTGGGCGCGGTGGCTCATGCCTGTAATCCCAGCACTTTGAGAGGCTGACACGGGTGGATCACCTGAGGTCAGGAGTTCGAGATCACCCTAACATGGTGAACCCTACCTCAACTGAAAATACAAAATTAGTTGGGCGTGGTGGCACATGCCTGTAATCCCAGCTACTTGGGAGGCTGAGGCAGGAGAATCACTCGAACCCGGGAGGCAGAGGTTGCTGTGAGCCAAGATCATGCCATAGCACTCCAGCCTGGGCAATAAGAGCGAAACTCCGTCTCAAAAAAAAAAAAAAGAAAAGAAAAGAAAAAGAATTATCTGAATGAACTGGATTCCTTCTTTAAAAACAAGGTTTCGGCTGGGTGTGGTGGCTTACCACGGTAATCCCAACATTTTGGGAGACTGAGGCAGGCAGATCACGAGGTCAGGAGTTTGAGACCATCCCGGCCAATATGGTGAATCCCTGTCTCTACTAAAATACAAAACAATTAGCCGGGCGTGGTGGTGCACGCCTGTAGTCCCAGCTACTCGGGAGGCCAAAGCAGGAGGCTGAAGCAGGAGGCAGAGGTTGCAGTGAGATGAGATTGTACCACTGCACTCCATCCAGCCTGGCAAAAGAGCAAGACTTGTCTCAAAAAAAATAAACAAAGCAAATTTGACCCTGGGTGAGACCCCCACCCTCAGCTCACTGGAAGTCAGGGGCACAGCTCTGAGGGCAGGAGGGGCTTTCCCGAGCTCAGGTGGGCCGTGGTCCGGGAAATCCCAAGTACTGCCACTTCCTTCACAGCCTCTGGTCAGAGGGAGGCTCTGACCAGAGCCTCATCATTTTCGCACATCAGAAAAGCCTTACTGGGAAGCAAGGGTGTGTGCCTCCTGCCAGCAGCAGAGACAGGGAGGGGGCTCCCCACCAGGTCCTGCTCCAGGTGCTAGGAGTGCGCCAGCGCTGCCCTCACGGAGCCCACAGCCCTGTTGGGGATAAAGGAGACTTGGGTCAGGTGCCACCTCAGTGAGGGCCACACAGGACAGCCCAGGCTCCGCCGGTCCTGGCAGCCCATGCTTCTATTATGTGGTTTGCTGAAGGATTTGGATCTATCAAACCTACTGAAAATCCTAAATCACTTCTAAATGTTCAGAGTTGGAGTGACCATAAATGTCACTTACACAAAGATAAATTAGAGGACATTGACACTTTTTACCAGCAGATTCCTAGTAACATTCATTTACACTAAGTTTCTTGGCCCACCTGAATTATTCAGCTTAAAAATATTGTTTTGTGACTTTTAAAGAATATATCTGGTGGAAAAACAATCATTTTCAATTTTCAGAAGACATTCCCGGGGCCAGTTATATAGCTGTGATTGACACCTGTCATCTAGCTGGAATAGATGTTCATAGAGACAATGAAGAGTTAACTTGCGGTTGTCTAGTAAAAAGAAATCCAGCAGAAATCGGACTGTTCCGTGAAACACACCCTGAACCCAGATCCCTGCCATGGACAGAGGGTCTGGGCAACTCTGTCCTTTCCCTGGTCTTGGCCTAGCCCCTTTTCCCTCCCACAGTGTGAAGCACATCTCCTGTCCCCTATTCATCCTGCACGCTGAGGACGACCCGGTGGTGCCCTTCCAGCTTGGCAGAAAGGTGGGTCCTGGCCTCTGCCTCTAGTGTAGCTGGCATCTTGCACACTCAGCCAGTGTGGGTGGGCCAGGCTGGGAGTAGGCAGGCGGGAAGGCAGCCCCTGCATGCTGCATCATGGGCCGTGCACCAGCCACGTCAGGCTCAGGAGGCCACCTCATCCTCCCTGCGTCACCTCCAGGCTGCTTCGGAAGGACATGGGAGGTCTGGTGTCAAGGTTGGGCAGAGGCCCACTGATGCTGTCTCCAAGAACTATGAAAAATAAGCAGATAGTTCCCAGTCCTCACACGGGGGTTCTCAGGGCAGGCTGTCTGTGTTATCAGAGCCCAGGCCAACCTGGCACTCGGCTGGAAGGGCTCATCAGTTATGGGCTGAAGGCAAAGAACCCCTTATGAGGATCTCCCAAGCCCATTGCAGGGGTCACAGTCAAAATTGATACAGAAACTTCTAGCCTGTTTCCTTGCCTTTGGAATTGTACTGATGTCAGAACCAGACCATGTTGTCTGTGGGGCCTCAGTGTTTGCTTTTGCTGAATTTGCTTTGACTGTCAGCAAGTTGGATTGGATTTGTGGCTCAGAGTAGGGTAAGAGAACGCAGCCTGGGTCTTGGTAATGGCAGGGCAGGGTAAACTAGTTGGCTGTGTGCAGGCCTCGTCCACGGATTCAGCCCAGGGCTGGGAGCACTTCCTGCTCTGACAGCCCCCATGCAGTGAGGCTCCATAAGGCACACAGATGACAGAGCCATACAGGGAAGGGGCAGGATGCAGAGCCACCCAGCAGCGTATAGCTCAGGCCCACCCACCCTTGCCGACATGGGAGGGAGGGGGCTGAGATGGGCGCATCAAGCCCATCTTAGCTAAGCCTGAGGCACATACCCTTTGTCCTAGCTCCCGAAGACTGTGCCATCCCTGCCATCAGAGCCTCCCAGGCACCTGGTCTGGCCCATCCACCTAGCCACTCCCCAGAGGAAGGGCAGTCTGGAAGGTGTGAGGACAGTATCTTGAGTGGTGTGTGTGCCAAGGAGCCAAGCCTGGGGCCTGGCTCCTGCCAGCCCACCCCTGGGCCTCCTGGTTGTGACTGGCTGTGGCAACAAGCAGTGTATGTGGACTCTGGACTGGTTTCTATTGAAGGGGAGGCTGCCAAGCTGATGTTCCTCAGGCTGGGACCCCCATGCCAGGCCACTGCCTCAGTCTCTGACCCCTTTCTCTCCCCAGCTCTATAGCATCGCTGCACCAGCTCGAAGCTTCCGAGACTTCAAAGTTCAGTTTGTGCCCTTTCATTCAGACCTTGGCTACAGGCACAAATACATTTACAAGAGCCCTGAGCTGCCACGGATACTGAGGTGAGACATTCTCTTCCCACCCAAGGGCTTCGTCTGGCAGCAGTGGCTCACATCTAAGCATGCAACCGGTGGCAGCTGCTGAAGCTGCTCGGGGGGGGGCCTCAGTGGGGCCAAGAGTCACAGTGATTTGGGAGCCTTCCATTTCCTTGGCAGACGGGTGTGAGGGAGTGCCTCTCTCCCCCTCCAGGACTGTTCCCATGATCATGCAGGGTAAGCCGCCTCCCTGTTGTACAGGATGTACAGACTCACACAGACCCACACAGAGGGGCACACACGCTCACAGGTGGCCACACATTTGAGAGCACTCACAGACACCCCAGACGCTCGCAGACCTTGGATCTCTTCCACACACCTCTCAGATGTATGTGCTGCCCCTGGGCCAGCTCCTCAAAAGCCTGTTGGTCCCCAGCTGCTTCTTGTAGGGACGCTGTGCTCCTGACTGCCCTGCACTGGCAGGACATGGGCGCCAGCCCAGAGAGCCATGAGTACCTACCTGGGCCTGAGTGCAGAGCCCAAGCCTGAGGGTGAGGCCTTGGCAGTAGTGACAAGGGCAGCGTGTGGAACGGACCAACCCCCAGCCTTCTCTGTACTGCCCTGGGCCCTATGCAGGTTGCTGCCCAGACTCGCCTACCTGCCTGTCAGAGGATACAGGCTCCACCCCACCGCCTGGCTGGTGTGGCCTTGGGCAAGATGCTAACCCTCCCTGTGCATTGGACAAGGCTTCCGAGCCCAAGAGGGCATGTGGTACTTCGACCCTGAGCACTGGACCCATGGAGGGGCTGCTGCTAATGGTGAGAGGGTTTTTTGTTGTGCCAGTTGGCTCCAAAAAGTAGGTCAAGGTGCCAGTTTCTCCCAGAAGGGGACTGAAATTGATGGCCTGAATTGCCTCCCAGTGCTGAATATCCTATGGGTAATTCTACTGCAAACTTCTGCTTTTCTCCAGCCGCCTTTGGAAGTTCCAGAGGCAAAGCTGTGTCCCTTTAGCGGTTTGCCATTCCCGGGCACAGGGACCTGGGTTGCTGAGGGGACAGTGGGCTCAAAGAGTATGGGTTTGCTTTGCGGTTATAATTTTCCCCATTATAAAAGGAAGATTATAGAAAATTTAGACCAGAGAATAGCTCTGAAGTTGAGGGTCAAGAATCAGAGGCCTTGTATCCGTGCCTGTGTGTTGGGCTTTGGCACCGTGCTGCTTGTGCCCTGCCTAACTCACTGAATGCTGCTCTGGGCTACAGCGAGTCCTCACAGGGCTCTTGGCTGCCTCCTCTCTGCACAGCCTCTGCTTCCTTAGATAGCAATGTGAGGACTGTGGAGAAGGATCTTTGCTCAAATCTGAGCTCAAATGATTGGCTCCTGATTGTCCTGTGGTCTAGGGGATTCCTGGGGAAGTCAGAGCCTGAGCACCAGCACTGAGCCTGGCTGAGGGAAGGAAGCATGAAGACCTCTGCCCTCTTCCCATTTTCCTCCAGTCAGCAGCCCGGCATCCTGGAGCCCCGGGGGGCCAGCACCTGCAATGCTCAGGAGCCCAACTTGCACCTGGAGAGGACTCAGATGCCAAGTGGGGAGGACCCTGCAGGCCTGCAGTGCCCGGAGGCCTGAGCGTGGCTGTGTATGGAAAGCGTGGGTGGCAGGCACGTGGCTCTCCTTGCCGCTACACAACCTGAGATCTTGTTGGGAGACTTACTGACAGCAGGCAACCATCACTGCCTGGTTGATGCTGCACTGAGCTGGGCAGGGGGAGTCCGGGCAGGGGACTCTTAGGGCTCAGGACCATGCTGAGCTTTCCGGCACCACCCACAGAGAACGTGGGGTCCAGGTTCTTTCTGCCCCTTCCCAGCACATGCAGAATGACTCCAGTGGTTCCATCGTCCCCTCTTGCCCTGTGTACCTGCTTGCCTTCGTCGGCTGCCCTGCCTCCTCTGGGCTGGCCCACTCACCTACAGTGGAGGTGCCCAGGATCTGTACTTCCTCCCCTTTCACCCACCTGTACGCCTAACTTGGCCTTAGACTGAGCTTTATTTAAGAATAAAATTGTGGTGGTGGTCCTTTTGTCTCTCTGCAGCGCGAGAAGGGTCAATGTTGCCTCCTGCCCCGCACACTCTCAAAGCCCCAGAGCCGCCCACAGCCCCAGCCAGGCTCAGAGCTCAGCCTCTAGCCGCTTTGGAGCCACTCCATGACTCAGCCTCAGGCTATGAAATTTCCATTCCCAGCAGCTCAGAAATTTGTCAGGAGTAGGAAGTTTTGTTCACCTGCCCACCCCTTTCTCCAAGTTGCAGGCCCAGCATCCGCAGCTGTGGGCTGGCAGGGAGCCCAGAGGTCCTTGCGGTTGCACTCCCTCTTCGCTGGGGTACCCTGAGCTACCTACAGTGGCTCTCAAATCCAGAGAACACTTTTCCTACACAGGGGAGCAGCTGAGTAGACATTCCTCCGGAGGTCAGTCATTGAAAACGCTGGCCCCCTTCCTGGCCAGGGTATGCCCCGGCTCCTGGTCTCTAATTAGGGTGTCATTTCTGTTCTGCCCACCCATGGCCCCGGAGACACTACATGCCCCTGGGTTGGGATCTCCCTGCACAGCCATCTGAGCCATCTGAGGACACAACCCACGTGGCGTCCCAGACTGTCTCTGCGAGGCTATAGGAACCCCTAGGGGAGCCAGGCAGCCCCTTCTTTAGGACACAAGTGGACTCCAGCACAGAGCCCGAGGCTGCTCTCCTGGCCTTGCCCCGCACTGTGGCTCCTGACCATGAAGCAGAGGCGACCTGCTCTACCTGGGCTGGCCTTCATCTTTTCCTCATTTTTTTGTCCATGTAAGCTACTTTGGATCCTTGGCTGGGGGACTGAGGCAAGATACAAACTAAAACTACAAGCTCCTAGTGGGTGTTGTTTTTTGAGACAGTCTCATCACTCTGTTGCGCAAGCTGGAGTGCAGTGGCGCAATCACAGCTCACAGCAACTTCCACCTCCTGGGCTCAAGCAGTTCTCCCACCTCAGCCTCCCAAGTAGGTGGGACTACAGGCACATGCCACCATGCCCAGCTAATTCTTGTATGTTTTGTAAAGATGGAGTTTTGCCACGTTGCCCAGGCTGGTCTCGAACTCCTGAGCAATCCTCCTGCCTTGGTCTGTCAAAGTGCTGGGATTACAGGCATGAGCCATTGCACTCAGCCAAGCTACTAGTGTTTTTTACAAAACTGACAGATGCAGATCAGAGCGAGATGGGTGCGCTGTGTGGCAGCTGCTCTGCCATCACCTGTCAGCTCATTACATCCAAGTGCCCTCCCTACCCAGGGCTGCTGAGCTCCGTTGTCCAAGCAACGAATCCCTGGGAGAGAACCCCACAGACCTGGGGAGGCAGACTCCCAGGGCACCATCTTGGTGCCGCCCACCCAGGTGCATGGTGGGTGTGGGGATGAGGACAACCTGGTAGCACCAAGCCCTGCACGAGCTGGTCTCGGGCCAAGGACACCCACGGCACTCTGGCATCCCAGTTTTCGGGTCTTCAGGGTAGCACTGAGCCCTAGACTCGTTTCTCCCGATTTCTTCATCTGCAACTATACAATTGAGGGGGGATGTTTTGGTCCCCAGGGCCAGGAGTGGGAGACAAAAGCTGCAGGTGCAAAGGGACCAGCACAAGTCACACCAGAAAGGCCAGTGTTTCTTATCCCCAGATAGCATGTTTAGTAATGGCACGATTTGATAGGATTTTAAGAAAATAGCTAGCTTGGCCAGGAACAGTGGTTCACAACTGTAATCCCAGCACTTCGCGGAGGCTGAGGTGGGTGGATCACCTGAGGTCAGGAGTTTGAGACCAGCCTGGCAAACATGGCGAAACTAAAAATACAAAAATCAGCCAGGTGTGGTGGTGGGTGCCTGTAATCCCAGCTACTCAGGAGGCTGAGGCAGGAGAATTGCTTGAACCCAGAAAGTGGAGGTTGCAGTGAGCCAAGACGACGCCATTGCACTCCAGCCTGGGCAACAAAAGCAAAACTCCATCTCAAAAAAAAAAGCTAGCTGTTCAGGTACACATGGCCCCAGGTCCCACACCTCGTGGAAATGCAAACTTTTCTGCCCTCAATCCCAGAATGATGGGGTATAATTCAGGCCCAGCTCTAGTTTCAGAGGGGGGACCTGCAGCCCACTTGCAGGTCTCATCACTGCACTGGCACCACCCTGGGCCTCAGGCCTGTGTTCTCTGCTTCCCACAGCCTCACAATACCACCTGCAGTTAGTGAAACACAGACCCTACATCAGCCAACCACAGCCACAAAGGTTTAATCAGTTTATCTCACAAGTCAGTAACAATGAGGGGCACAGTGATGGTCAGGGTGGTGGCCCCAGTGACCAGCTCAGGGAGTATGGCCTCCTCCACACAGCCACTGCCTGGGACAGATGCTATCAGGGCACGACCACGGCCCAGCACTTGCCCCACTCAATAAAAGGCTGCAGTGCTCTGGTGGGCTGTGCACCACACGCAGATCCTCCTGGTGAGCACTGGAGGCCAGGGTGAAAAGAGCCTCCCTGCAGCCCAGATCCAGCATGCAAGGCGCTAGATTTCTCAGCAGTTCCACAGGGAAGGCCAGTAGCCTGTCCCTGCTCTCTCGCTTGGGCAATGGGAGGCAGACTGGCAGCCTTGGGGAGGGGCAAAGCTGTGAGGGGCTCACCCCCACTTCCCAGTGCCAGGCCTGCTGTCCACGCAGAGCAGAAACGGGTTCTTCTGGGACCACTGGTCCTTCTTCCAGACGAGGCTGTGGCACTGGTAGAAAGCGAGGGAGAATGGAGCCTGGCTCTTGTGTGTACAACAGGAAATGCACATCAGGACACAGTGGGAGTCAGAGGGAGGGCACAGACCTGCCCCCCGCCAGGCAGAAAATGGGCCTCCCCAAGCACAAAAGTGACCAAGTACAATTTTCAGTTGCTAAAACAAGACTAGTTTCATTTCCATGTGTAGTTATTTTCTCTTGAATAAGCAAAACCAAGCTAAGCTGCATCAGCCAACTTCATCTTGACGAAGACCTCTCAGACAGCAGACACAAGCACCCACTCCAATGTACCCCTCGGTCATCCCGAGTTCCAAGCACCCACACAATGCCCAGGATGGCTACAAAGGGAAAGCCCCATCTGGGTCCATGACCCATATGCCAGGGCAGAGGGCAGGGGGCTGTGAAGGCAATACCTGGAGGATCCGACCCCTCCCAGCATGGCCAGGAGGCAGAGCTGGGCAGGGTGACTGGGGCTACATGGGGCTTGGCCCTTCCCTGTGGCTGGCAGCCCAGATGCTGCAGTAATATGTCCCCAGGCTTCACTACAGTCACTGGCCCAGACCCCAGAATCCAGAGGCTCAACACTAAAGACATCAGCTAATACATAGCAAGATGCGTGCAAAGTTCTAGGGGAGCCCAGCAGGCGACTTCACCTGCCTCCCACTCTGGTACTGTCGACTCTGTACAAACCTCCCCTTTGTACTGTCAACTCTGGCTTCCTTTATAAGAAACTAGGAGCACTTCCAGCACATTCCTTCTTTGCCCTGCTCTCTCAAAACCACCCTGACCCCCACGGCCCCTCCTGGAAACATGGTACTCAGAAAAGCAGGGACCACCAGCGGCTGGCAAAGTGCTTGGGGAAAAAAGGAGGTGCAAAGTCAGCAAGAAAACAAAAGCCCGCTGGTCCCGCCAAGGCAGGGTGCGCCTAGTCCCGGGGAATGTTAGGGGGCGGGATCTGCAGGTCGGAGGGCTCCACGCCCCAGATCTCCCGCGCATACTCCGTGATAGTCCGGTCACTGGAGAACTTGCCCGAGCAGGCGATGTTCCTGATGACCTTCTTGGTCCACCCCTTGGGGTTCTGCAGGGAAGAAGATGAAATTAGTCTCTGGCGTCACAGGGCTAGAGGCTGCTAAGAGCATGGGATTCCAGAACTTTAGGACTGTTTCCAAATGAGCTCTGAGCCTTGGGGCTGTCCGCTGGAAGAGGAGGACATTACAATCAATTGTTCATTGAAAAGGGGACCCCACGGACCAGGAAAGCTACCACATACCTAGATACAGGAAGCAAGGAGCTGGAGAGAAGGTCCCAGCCTTGAAAATTCCTGCTAGGGCATGGCCCCCAAGATGACGATAGGGATAGCACCAGATAAGAACTGCCCAGGCAGGGGCCGGGTGCAGTGGCTCACGCCTGCAATCCCAGCACTTTGGAGGCCGAGGCGGGCGGATCACAAGGTCAGGAGATCGAGACCATCCTGGCTAACACGGTGAAACCCTGTCTCTACTAAAAAATACAAAAAATTTGCTGGTTGTGGTGGAGTGTGCCTGTAGTCCCAGCTACTCAGGAGGCTGAGGCAGGAGAAAGGCGTGAACCTTGGAGGCGGAGTTTGCAGTGAGCCGAGATCGCACCACTGCACTCCAGCCTGGGCAATAGAGCAAGACTCTGTCTCCAAAAAAAAAAAAAACTGCCCAGGCAGATCCAGTGCCAGCGGACATGGCCAAGCACTCTCCTTCCACCAGGGAGCCTCACAGCTGCCGCAAGCTGCAGCTTGCACCAGGCCAGGCTTTCCTCGAGGCAGCCCTGACTAAGGGAAGAGAAGGTCCCTCCCAGGGCCCTGCCCGGCACTCAGTTTCCAGGCCCCACGTTCTTTTCTTGGCCATTAGGAGCTGTTTTTTCAAGGGAGGAAGTGACAGTGACAGCTTCCCTAAAGGCATCCACAGCTGACTGATAACAAATCAGAAACACAAACCCCTCTGGCCTCGGCCAACAACCTACTCAGCTTGAGAAATAAACAATCCGACCCAACACGTCTACACAGACCCATCCAGCTGCTCCCCCAGCCTCTGGGCCCAGGAGTCTCACCCGGTACAGCTGGTCCACCTGTGCCTGGCACTGCACATAGGCTTCATAGTCTGCAAACACCTTGAACCTGGAATGGGAGAAAGGAGGCTGGGCCAGGGCAGCAGGGAGCCCTGCCCACACTGTCCCGAGGGGAGAGTCCCGGGGCAGGAGGCCAGGCACCATCCACCTGGTCCTGCCTGGAGCGAAGGGGCCCATGCAGCTGGTCAGAGCCA